TTCTAATTTTGTCTGTACTACAAGAAGCCATTAGACATTTTCTGATGGCTATATAAATTCTTGGCATAGGTGACCCATTTATAGAACTATACATTGTATTAAGCTAAATTATTTATATTATTATATAGGTTTATTTGTTGGTTGAATGATTATTCTAATCTAAAGTTTGAATCATGTGATTAAATCAGAAATGAGAAAGAGTTGTTGGCAGCCAGCTATGCGCCATTTGTAGATATCATCACTAATTTAGTAGTTTTACTACTAATTAATTGTCTAGTTGTCTAGATTGCAAAGCTTTATTTTGTTAATTATATACTACGTATGTGATTAGCGGATCCTTGAAAGCATGATTAAACATGTTTAGGAAATCAAAGCGAAGGTGATATAATTAAAAATGTTATTCTTGAATTGTTTAAACAAGTTATAGTGCAAAAATGAGCTAATTAACTAAATTCAGCAAAAATAAGTTAAGTAAAGAAAGAAGTTTGTAACGATGATCTAATAAATTCAGCAAAAATAAGTTAAGTAAAGAAAGAAGTTTGTAACGATGATCTAATAAATTCAGCAAAAATAAATTAGGATCCTAGAGTTTACATTTCCGAATAATCTAAAGCTAAAATTACTATTCACATTTTAGTGAAGGTTTAGATATTTGACTCTATATATCAAGTTCGAAAAACTTTTGTACACACGCGGTTACAGTCGTTACACTAATATTAGTGTATATCGAGGAGTATAAGGGTAATTTAAAGCTAATTTAGGGTAACTTTTTGCCTTTTCTTGGGTAATTTTAAACGTAATACAATTTTTATATAAATAGACACCAAGAAAAGTTTTATAATGGTAATTTAATTACATTCAATCACTAATAATTGATTTTTAGTCATTTAAAATGTGATTTTTTACTAATAAAGCGTAGATAATTTTTATTTGTATTAGGTTAGCTTTATACATATTGGGGTAACTTTTATTCATTTCGGATGGAACTTTTGATCACTTTAGGCTATCTTTATAATATAACGGATGTACAATAATTATTATACACCCAATTTTTTTAAAAGTCTGTGATCAAGTTGAAGTGAAATAATATTATCTACCCTTATCTTACAAAATTGATATTCTATAAAAATAAGTTAAAAGCTTAACTTAGTAAAGATAAGTTAACTCTGGCCAAAGTTATTTTTAATTGGTAAAAATCATCAGTAAATTTAAAAAATTACTATATTTGTGATTATGTAAAAACGATTTAATTTAGTAAAAATAATTTAGATACAATATACATAATGTGAATGGAACTTGGCCTAAATAGTAGAATGTAGGTAAAATTATACTTGGTATAAGAATTCAGACATATATATTGTTCACCTTCGTGGTTTCATGTTGTCCAATCAAATAGTCAATTAAAGTTAGCTAGGTCTCGTCTCACAAAGGCTGCTATTTTCTTCATAGATTTGGACTCCATTTTTAAAGACATTTTATTAATTAGTTCTTTCTTTGATTTTGTTTCATGGTTGATCTCATGTAAAAAGAGATGGAAGTGTCGTTTTTTTTATCAATTTGTTAGGTTAGTGCCATTTGTTATTGAACAAGTTTAGGAGAATTATCATTCCTCGAGATTTTTCCTTGTTTTCAAATGGACAACTTGTCCTAAAGTAATAGTAATTATAATAGCACTAATATTTCCTTTCATAATACAATTCTGATAAAAGATGATATCAATTGCTAACTTGATGATTTGGTTGATTAATTAGGTTACAATAATCACACAATACTCCGTCGAGTTTGAAAATAATTTTAAAACCCTTAAAAAAAGATGGGAGCTCAATAAATAAATAAACAATTACAGCATGCATTATGGAGTTATTGCTAATTTAAAATGCCTTGGTTGTGTATAATACGAAGTATTAAAAGAAACAAACTCGATATCCTTCTAACCTAGTCTATGCAACGAAAAATAACAGAATATTATCAAATTTGTTTGTTTCATTAGATTCTTGACAAAAGAAAGGTTGAAAAGAGAAATAGAATAAAAGTTGAAAACAACTTGAGTTCATTGTATCCATGGTATTATTTTTATATGGCATAATGAACAATAATTAAAGCTAATTAAGAATGAAGCAATTGGAATTATTCTTTTTTGGGTTTTATGTTGTGTTTTGCTTGAGCCTATTTGATAAAACTAGGAAATTTTAGATTTTAACACCTCACAAACACGCAAAAATTGATTTTAACACCCCCATAAAAAAAATGGATTTGAACACCAGATAAATTTCTAAAAATTTGGTATTACCACCACTTAACTGATTCCATTTAGGAATCCGTTAAGTGAGTCCATAAGCCACGTGTCGTGTTATATTATTGGCCAAAAAAAGAAAAAAAAATAATAATAATAACCTAAAACTACCCAGCCACCACCACAGCACCACCCCCGCGCCACCGCCGTCTTCCCCCAACTCACCACAACCCTCCCCGAAACCACCACCCGTGTCGCACCACCACCCCCAACCCACCTGAACCCTCCCTTTCCCGCAACCGTATCGCCCCCAAAAAACCACCAAACCCAAAACCCTTGTTCCCCAAAACGGCCACAAATGGCCGAAATTGGCCGGCTTTGGGGATTAGTGGCCTTAACCGGCCGATTTCAGCCTTTTAAGGCCGAATTCGTGGCCGTTTGGGGGGACGAGGGTTTTAGGTTTGGTGGTTTTTGGGGGCGTTACGGTTGCGGGAAAGGGAGGGTTCGGTGGGTTGGGGGTGGTGGTGCGACACAGGTGGTGGTTTCGGGGAGGGTTGTGGTGAGTTGGGGGAAGGCAGCGGTGGCGCTGTGGTGGTGGCTGGGGTAGTTTAAGGTTTTTTTTTTTAATTTTTCCTTTTTTTTTTTTGAACAAATAAAATGCTGACACGTGTTACTGTGAGCCACACTTAACGAAATTTTTGGATGGAAACCGTTAAGAAGTTGTAATACTATTTTTTTGGAAATTTATCTGGTGTTAAAATTCATTTTTTGTATGGGGGTGTTAAAATTAATTTTCGCGTTTTTATGAGGTGTTAAAATCTAAAATAACATAAAACTATCTCAATTATTGCCATTGTGCAATAAATGGCAATTTGGAATATATTTTGTTATGATTATAATCATACAAACGTGTGTTTGTCGAATAAAATTTCACATGACAATGATTATTTCTCATATAACTCTTTGTCGAGAACTAATAATCATATATACTGTATTAATCAAGCTAAGGCCCTGTTCCCATTAGGTTATTTTCAGTTCAGTTCAGTTTTGCTCCTAATTTCCTTCTCTCATAAAATATTTATTTCAATTCAGTTCACTCCAATTCAGCTCAGCTCAGTTAATGAGAACAGGACCTAAATGGTGTAATTTAGTTCACTAACAATAATGTAATAAGTTGATAACTTAATTTGAACGGAAGAAGTATAAATCACTTTACTATCGAACTCTAGTATATAAACAGGAGAATTTGTTTTTACCATTCTTGTTTAATTTTTTGTTTTTAGAACAGTAAACGATAAATGATGTAGACAAAATAGATAATCGAGGATATATTATTAATGTTGTAGACATAACAATAAGTACTAAGAAAACAAGTAGACGAAGATGAAGAGAAGGAAAACAAAAGGAATCTGGTTGGCAAGGAAAATGTCGTTATCTTTTGAAGACTAACTGTTAATAAGTTGGTTATCAGACAGATGTAAACATTTTAACAAGCATAATTACAAAATAACGACTGCATCTCAAACTATTACTTTAACATACTTTCAGCGTGCAGTGCGTATCAGTTATCTTTATTTTCATCTAGCCGAATTTTATACAGGATTTTAGCTATATTCAATTAATAAACCAAACTTTCTTTTTCTTTCGTACGGACAATAATTATGAATATCGTCTGAATTCTTAGCTTATCTATTTAAAGAACTTTCAGTCATATTACTAAAAGAAGTTGAAAAAAAAAGTGGAAAAAGCAAAATGAGCACCGAGTAAATTGCACTGGTTTAACAAAATTAGATAAACTGATAAAGTTAAAATAAGATAAAGTTTTCTTCAAAATAAATAAATTAGATAAAGGTTAAAATAAAATTTAAGGGTGTATTCACATTTACTTAATTTCAGTTTTGTTCAGCTCCAATCAGTTCAGTTCAGTTTAGTTCCTAATTTCCCTATCTCATAAAATATTCATTTGAGCTCAACTCAGTTCAGTTCAGCTCCAATCAGTTCACTAAATGTGAACAGGCCTTAATAAGGCCTTGTTCAATTCACCTTAAAGAAATAATATTAAGTAAAAATAATTTCAGTTCAGTAAAAATAAGTTCAGTTCAGTAAAATTAATTTCAGTTCAGTAAAAATAAGTTTAGTTCAGTAAAATTCAGTTTTCTTAAAGAAGAATTATAATATAAAATCAGTAAAAATAATTTTAGTTCAGCAAAATAATTTCAGTTCAGTAAAAATAATTTAAGTTCGGCAAAAATAATTTCAGTTCATTAAAAATAATTTCAGTTCAGCAAAATTAAGGTGAAGAGAACAGGTTCTAAGTCTAGTTAAACACAACTTGTTTGTTTTAATTTCTGTAAAAACAATTAAGTTAAGTTATAATAACCAGAATAAAGGACTTGTTCTCTTCAACTTAATTCCAGTTCAATTCAGTTCCAAATTTCCTTTCTTATAAACAATTCAGTTCATTCCACTTCAGTTCAACTTGTTAAGATAATTATGTAAATAATTAGCTTAGTCAAAGTGTATATATTGTTTCCTAGTTTATAGGATAAGTTTATTGTTTCCTAGTTTATTGCCTAGAATTATGCCTAGATTATTCCCTGTATATTTGTATAAATATCAATGAGCAATGGAGGAAACATTCACGGAAAACATTCTTTTATGGTATCAGCAGTCTAGGGCGATTCTTCCGCTGCACCCTAGCTTTTCCGCCTTTCTTCTTCCTCTTCATTCTTCTTTTTTTTTTCTTCTTCTCTTCCCAATAATTGCTATGGGGGACTCAAAATCCTCATTCCACCCTGCTCTTACTGTCACGAATATCAAGCACAACATTCCTATTGTTCTTGAATTACAAAACTCTCAGTACTCCACATGGGCGGAATTATTTAAAATTCATCCTCGTTCTTACAAAGTGCTAGACCATATTATCCCTCTGCCTAAGGAGAAGGCGAAGGTTCCTGTCACTGACGAGGAAAAAGACGCGTGGTCTACTCTGGACGCTGTTGTAATCTCGTGGATTTATTCAACCATCTCCAATGACTTATTGCTCACCATTATCGAACCAGATGCTACGGCTATGGAGGCGTGGGAACGGTTGCGTGATTTATTTCAGGACAATCAGAATTCTCGTGCCTTGACTCTTGAACAGGAATTTTCGACCATGAAAATGGAGGATTTTCCAAATGTCTCGGCCTACTGCCAACACCTCAAGAGTCTCTCCGATCAATTGCGAGGCGTAGCTGCACCGGTGGATAATAACCGATTGGTTCTTCAATTGGTTTCTGGCCTCACTGAAGCATACAAGGGTGTGGGTACCCTTATTCGACAGAGCAATCCCCTTCCTCTGTTTTCTCAAGCTCGGTCGATGCTTACGCTGGAGGAGGCCGGTCTCGCAAAGCAAGCGGCTACAGGGTCCGCCACAGCCATGGTGGTTCAGTCCCGTGACAATGCTGATGATGGTCAAGATAGTGCTGGGGGTTCGCGTGGCCGCACCAAGTAGAAAAATTCGGGAAACCGCAAGCAATCCGGTGGTAAGGGCGGTCATTCCGGTGTTAAGGGTGGTGGCTTTGGTGGGAAGGGCGACAGCCGAGGAGGCGCCGGTCAGCAGCAGCAACAGTGGCAGTCCTCTCCGGCTCCATGGCAGCAACAACAGTGGGCACAGTACCCGGGTTGGGGATGGGTGCCTCAATGGGCTACACCTCCCTGCCCATACCCCAACTAGGGGTGGGCCCGTCCTTAAGGCCCATCTAAGCAGCCTGGTCTTCTGGGTCCTCGTCCCTAAGCCTATGCAGCTTCTTCTTAGCCAATACAGTACGCTCCAACAGACATTGAATCGGCCATGCATACTATGACGTTGACTCCACCCGACCCCTCATGGTACATGGACACAGGAGCCACTTCTCATATGACATCCTCCAACGGTAATCTCTCGTCTTATTTTAATTTGAGAAATCATCCTTATAGTATTGTAGTTGGTAATGGTCATACTATTCCAATTTATGGTTCTGGTCATACTACTCTTTCTTCCCCGAATCCTCCCTTATCCCTAAACAATGTACTCCATGCTCCCAAACTCATAAAAAATCTGATTTCAGTCCGGAAATTTACCAAAGATAATAATATTACTGTTCAGTTTGACCCTTATGGTTTCTTTGTGAAGGACTATCGGACGGGGAGGCCAATAATGAGATGTAATAGCACGGGTGATCTTTATCCTCTCACCAACACCACATCCACACATTTCTCTTTACCTTCGAGTTTTGCTGCTATAGCACCTTCTCTTTGGCATGACCGTTTAGGTCATCCAGGGTCGGGTATTTTACATACTCTTCGTAGTAATAAAAGTATTGAATGTACTCGTACTTCAAGTTCTAGCATTTGTCATTCTTGTGTTCTTGGGAAACACATTAAGTTGCCATTTTATCCTTCTATGTCTTCTACTACTTTGCCGTTTGATATAATACATAGTGATCTTTGGACATCTCATGTTTTAAGTTCTTCGGGACATCGTTATTATATGCTTATTTTGGATGATTTTACTAAATTTGTGTGGACTTTTCCTTTGGCTAAAAAATCAGATGTGTTTGATAAATTTTTGGCTTTTCAATCTCACATTCGCACACATTTTGAGTGTCCTATCAAAAATATCCAATGTTAAAATGGGTGGGAGTATGATAATAGTTCTTTTTAGGAATTTTGTGAGTCTAATGGGTTGTCTTTCCGTCTTTCTTGTCCTCATACGTCTTCACAAAATGGTAAATCCGAAAGGAAATTAAGATCACTTAATAATATCACTCGCACTCTCCTCTCTCATGCTTCTTTACCTCCATTTTGGCATCATGCATTACAAATGGCAACTTATTTGCATAACATCTTACCTAACAAGTTATTAGGGAACAAGTCTCCTCTTAGTGTTCTATATCATACGGAACCTACATACTCTCACTTACGGGTTTTTGGGTGTCTTTGTTATCCTCTATTCCCTTCCACCACGATAAACAAGCTCCAACCCCGTTCCACTCCTTGTGTATTTTTAGGATTCCCGTCGAACCATAGAGGTTATAAATGTTATGATCTTTCATCACAAAAAATCATCATATGTCGTCATGCCCTTTTTGATGAAACCGTGTTTCCTTTTGCTAAATTGCATACTCCTACTACCACTACGTATGAGTTCTTAGATGCAGGCTTGTCTCCTTATCTCATTCACCATATACAAGCTTCCTCAGCTTCTGAGCCCATTCACACGGCCCAACCTCCCTTGGGTGAGAATACTCTACCTCCCCCATCTCCCACTGGTGGGCCGAGTTTACCAACCAGCCCACCAAATTTCACCCCTCCGCATTCTCCAGCTCGACTTGAGGTCTCTCATCTCCCTGCTGGGCCGAATTCCCCTTCCAGCCCACAAAAATCACCCGTACCAACCCCATACCAACCATCAGTGCAGCCCACTCCTGTTATTCCTCCAAAAATGGTCACACGTAGCCAACATGGAATATTTAAGCCAAATAAAAAATATTGCAATGTTGCTACAGTGTCTAAGGTTATGAAATCCCCTATTCCTCGTAACCCAATTGATGCTTTACGTGACCCTAATTGGAAAATGGCTATGGATGATGAATTTAATGCTCTTATTAAAAATAAAACGCGGGAGTTGGTGCCCCGTCCGCCTGATGTTAATGTCATTCGCTCTATGTGCATTTTTACTCATAAGGTGAAATCTAATGGTGATTTTGAGAGGCATAAAGCCCGTCTTGTAGGTGATGGAAAAACTCAACAGGTGGGCATTGATTGTGGAGAAACTTTTAGTCCGGTAGTCAAGCCTGCTACTATTCGGACTGTTCTTAGCCTAGCTTTATCTAAAGCTTGGCCAATTCATCAGCTTGATGTCAAGAATGCATTCTTACATGGTGAGCTTAATGAGACAGTGTATATGCATCAACCTCTTGGATTTCGTGATTGTACTAATCCATATTATGTGTGTTTGTTGCGTAAGTCCTTATATGGCCTTAACCAAGCACCCCGGGCATGGTACAAAAGGTTTGCTGATTATGTGTTGTCCATTGGTTTTATTAACAGCAAGTCTGATAACTCTTTATTTATTTATCGGTCGGGGTCCCAAACGGCATATCTTTTATTGTATGTGGATGACATTATCTTGACAGCTTCGTCTCATGCTCTCCGATGTTCTATTATGTCTCTTCTTGGCTCCGAATTTGCAATGAAGGATTTAGGTTCTTTAAATTATTTTCTTGGCATTGCCGTTACTAGACACAAAGGGGTTCTCTTTCTTTCACAACGCAAGTATGCCGAAGATATAATTGAAAGGGCAGGAATGACGACTTGCAAACCATCAGCCACACCGGTTGATACCAAGCCAAAAGTGGGTTCGTCAGGCACTCCCTATGCTAACCCGACTCACTACCGCAGTTTAGCAGGTGCATTGCAATATCTAACGTTTACCAGGCCAGACATTTCATATGTTGTCCAGCAGGTATGTTTACATATGCACGACCCCAAGGAATGTCATATGGCTGCTCTTAAGCGAATAATTCGCTATGTTCAAGGTACTAAGGATCATGGGCTAACTTATATCCTTTTTCTACCTTGTCACTTATCTCCTACACCGATGCAGATTGGGGGGATGCCCCGATACGCGGCGTTCCACGTCGGGTTATTGTGTATATCTAGGGGATAATTTGGTCTCATGGTCATCAAAACGCCAGCCTACACTCTCCAAGTCAAGTGCCGAGGCCGAGTATAGGGGAGTAGCAAATGAGGTGTCTGAATCTTGCTGGCTTCAAAATTTGTTACTAGAATTACATTGTCCACTAAGGAAGGCTACTTTAGTGTATTGTGACAATGTAAGCGCAATCTATCTCTCGGGTAATCCTGTACATCATCAAAGAACAAAGCACATCGAGATGGATATACTTTTTGTTAGGGAGAAGGTTGCGCGTGGTGATGTCAGAGTTCTCCATGTACCAACTCGACATCAAGTTGCGGACATTTTTACTAAGGGACTTCCACGTATACTGTTTGAAGATTTTCGGGATAGTCTCAGCGTCTGTGGCCCTCCCGCTTTGACTACGGGGGTGTGTTAAGATAATTATGTAAATAATTAGCTTAGTCAAAGTGTATGTATTGTTTCCTAGTTTATAGGATAAGTTTATTGTTTCCTAGTTTATTGCCTAGAATTATGCCTAGATTATTCCTTGTATATTTATATAAATATCAATGAGCAATGGAGGAAACATTCACAGAAAACATTCTTTTACAACTCAGTCCAATAATTCAGAACATGCCCAAACTCTTAAACATCAACAAAGAGTACAATGACTATCACATATAAAATTATTAATAATATATTGAACTAGTTTTAAGTACAAAGTATTATTCACTCGAAACTCAATTGATTAATTTGAATTTTAATACTCCGTAATCTGTACAACCACTTATATAATACACTCTCTTGTCGCCTTATTTTAGCATAAACTTTACCTTATAAAAATGTTTTAGTCAAGTATGATTATTGAATTGCTGAAACTTGTGTTCTACGGAGTGAATTACACCTTATACTAGAAATGGCCTCAACAAAATAGTCGTTTGTCCATAAACAATATAAAACCTATTTGTAGTTGTAAGCTAGCTAGATGTAGGAAGTTTTCCTTGTTTTGCAAAACTTACAAACAAATTCTATGGTCCTAATTCCGATCCAAATCTTTATAAAGTCAATTCGAGATTTTAGATAGATATTCTTCCCCAAAATTTGAGTTGTATTGCTTGTATCTTAAGCGATTATCTCAATAATGGTTTAAGTTTAAAATATAAGCTAATTATGTATCATTTGTAAACTTAATAGCTTTGGTTACAAATTATACTCGTACCTTATTGGGATAATATCATATATGTAAATATTGTTAAAGAGATATTATTGTACTTATCCTAGGAAGTATATTTTATTCTAGGAAATATATCTTTTAGAGGATATTAGGGTTGAGCACTCTAGTATATATATTTTGTATTGGCCGTGACATATACAAGAAATACAAAGAATTCATTGAGATTATTTTATCATGGTATCAAGAGCTTAGGTTTGATCCGATTGTTTTTCACCCGTTATTTTCATAATTTACGAGTGAAGGGAAGGTGAGAGTTCACTGCAAATTTTTTTTTAAAATTTTTTCCGGCGAGATTTTGTGACACACAATGACAGGGGGTGATGGTGGAAAAACGACCAAGGTGGATCTCACATATCACCTTGGATCGAGTGATGCTCCTGGCAGTGTGATTACTCCTATTCAACTTAGGGGTGAGAACTAAGATGAGTGGGCTAGGGCTGTGCGTACGGCTCTAAAGGCCAAGAGGAAATTTGGCTCCATTGATGGGTCAGTTTCGAAGCCGAGTGACGCTGAGAAGATAGAGGATTGGGTGGCTGTGCACTCCATGCTCGTGTCATGGCTTACCAATACTCTAGACCCGATTGTTCGTTCCACGATT